TTCTTAAGCAGATAAGTTCTAATGTCCAGGATCTTATATTATTATACTAGAGACTTTCTAATTTAGAATTTAAGAAACTTGCTTAACAGATATTTTCCATTTAGACAAATCATTTGAAGAATATTTTACAATTATTTTGCAGTGTTCTAGATTTGAAGTGTGGGGAAATACTTTTATCACAATATAGGCAATGACATCTGGTTCTCAGCCTCTTGCCTAACAATGTACTAGACAAGAATTATTATTCCATAATTTACACTCTGTCATGTCTTATTGCTTAATTAAAGCACACCCTTCCCTTTCATGACAAGCAATTGGACTGTTAACATTATAGATGATTATCCAACCTAACATATTTTATTTTTACAGCCTCCTCTTTTCATGTACATAGGATGCTCCATCTCAGGTACATCCACCTCTGAAAACATGAAAAATCTGTTTCCTTAGTTACCTTCTGGCTACTGTACAGACCGCCACTAGCAAAATTGTGGAGGAAATATGTGTTAGGAATTTCTAATTTAGAGACAAAAATAGTAGCACAAGATCTCAAAGCAAATTTGTATAAATATACTATACTGTTCAAACATATTGAATTTAATAATAATTTAATTCAAGTAGAATGTGATACTACACTTTTAAAGTTAACATATTTTCAAAACGAGGCTAGAAAAATTCTTGAGGAAGAGAGAAGAGGGGAAGAAATCAACATGGATTTTCTAATTTCATTGCATAACAAAACAGATCACCATTGTATGGGAATCAAAATAGCTTGATTCTACAGGAGACTTGGGGGAAGGTCTAAGTTCGGTGTGAGTCTGAACAGCAGCATGGACATCTACATTGTGTTACTTGCTTTAAGTTTCCAATTGAACACCAAATTGTCTAAAATGAACTCATGCCAACATGTTCTTAATTGTCTCCTTTAATGTATTTTACATAAAATATATTATCATTTATTTTAAACTATTCTAGTTCAGTGTGCTATCAACTCTTGTCTAGATTATTAAAATAACTTCCTGGCAAACATTTTTTTCTGCCTTCTCTCCTCTTTTTTGCAGATTTATCATGACAAACAGGAATGAACTTTGAGAGAAGGAAGGACCAGTATGTGAGTAGAAGGAATATCGGAGGACAGTGGCCAGGAAAAGAGAACAAATATGATGGTATATATGCAGGCAAAATTAAAATAGAAATACATATCTGTGTACGTGAATGAAGATAATTTCAGGAGAAAGAGAAGGGGAGAAGAGGAGAGGAGAGGAAGATATGAGGGAGCAGGATGATTGAGTCAGGGGAAGAGTAGAGAAGAACAATAAAAGAGATACAAAAATAGAGGGAGCCATTAGAGGTTTAAAGAGAAAACTTACACTAGGGAAATGTTCAGAGATCTACAAGAATGACCCCCAACTAACTATCTAAGCAATACTGGAGAGGCTTAAATGCCCTTCCTCGATAATGAGATTGATGACTGCTGTATATACATAACATCCTAGACCCTTCACCCAGGAGCTGATGGAAGCAGAAACAGTCACCCACTGCTCAACGCTAAGCCAAACTCCTGGAATCCAGTTATAAAGAGGGAGGAGTGATGAGCAAAGGGGTCAAAACCAGGCTGGAGAAACCCACAAAAACAGTTGACCTGAACAAGCGGGAGCTCATGGACCCCAGACTGATTGCTATGAAACAGCAAAGGACCAACCTAGACCCCCCCTGAACGTGGGTGTTAGTTATGAGGAGTAGGCAGTTTATGGGGCTTCTGGGAGTGGATCAATATTTATCCCTAGTATATGAATGGAATTGGGAGCCCATTCCACATAGAGGGATACTCCCTCAGCCTAGACACATGGGCCCTACTCCAAATGATATTACAGATTTTGAAAACTCCCCATGGAAGTCTGTTCCCTTGGGAGCATAAAGGGGATAGGATGGGGTCTGGGAGGGACAGGGGAGGAGAGTGTAGAAACTAGATTGACATGTAAAACAAGTTTGTTTCACATTTAAATAATAAATACTATCAGAAACATATACATCAGATCATATTTGTTCTCAAATCCTCCGATCATTCATATCCTGAGAACATCATTTATAAACACCTCTTCTTCTATACAGATGAGAAACTGGCAATGGTGTGTGGTAAGCTGACTTAAGTTCTCTTACTTTCCTGCTCATGCTAAAGAGACTTGCATTGCTGCAGGTTTCCTCCATTGACTTCATCAAAGCCTTACCTCCAACATCACTTTCTTATTTATAAAAGTATCTGTAGCCACTTTTTCTCTTTCAGTTTTTCAATTGTACTTACCAGCATATTCCATCTGTACACATGCACATCACACACACATGTGCACACATGCTCACACACACATGCCACACACACACACACACACACACACACACACACACACACATTTATTTACTCTGTTTTGCTCTGTCCTCCCCGCAAGAAGGTCAACCTCACAAGAACTAGACTGTCACTTTATTTTACAATCTAGTTCAATTAATATTGATATCCTCACTAATATTTGTTTGCAAACAGATATATATTGGATTATAGATTTCTATGAAAAAATTAAGGAATTATAGCTGGTGTCTCTACTGTAGAAAAGAATTTTGTGAGTATCTGTGTTGTTTCTCTAACCATGAATATAATTTAATTTCACAAGATAAAATGATAAAAATAGGCAACAATAGAAACAAGTTATTTTAGGGTATTTGTTGCAATATTTTCTTAAAATTGTTAGCCAATATTTAAAAAAAAATCTCACACACCTTTAAAAATTATAGTGAAGTAATGAACCCAGAGAGCAAAAATTAGTATTAGTACATAAATTACTCAAATGAGAGGTCCCACATCTGAAGAATCATGTGAACTCTTCACTGAAAAAGCAGGATTGTAAGAAAACACCAGAGCACCAAGCACAGGGTACACGTTCTGTTTGGAAGCTCATAGAAGACTCTACTGAGGTTTCACTGTATTGTTTGTGTCGGGAGTGGCTCAGTGTGTGTCTCCCTATGTTCACTGTGTGACTGTGATATAATGGAGTGATGGGGTGGACCACGTTCTAAAACAGAGGCAAGCAAGAGCTGATTTTATTAGATTGAGTGATAGGCTATTACGTTAATGGTTTCATTTGAGGCAAGGGGGCCCCGCTCATCATAGTGCTGACTGGGCTTCATTTGGTAATGACTTATAGCTTTCTGTCAGACGTCAGCACTGTAATTACATAGGAAGAAAAAGTTAATACCCTCAGAGTAGATTTTATATACTTGTATCCAAGGGTATCATTGACATAGTACTTTGAAAGCACCTTAAATTTTCTGTTAGCTGAATTAAAAGTAATTGAATTCAAATAGAATTATGTGCCAATGTTAGGAACATATGGGTATTTTTTCTATTAATAAATATTTCTACACATTTGAGACTAATGGCACAGACAGTGATAGCAGCATTTCATAATTATTGAATACACAAGTTCTTCAGGGATTTGAGTCATTTCAAGTATAATTTCATAGAGAACCACTTCAAGCATCACATGTTGCTTAGAGTACAATCTGGGATGATGGGATATTATGAACATACAATTACATGACAGGAATGTAAAGAGTAGTCTTTGGAGGCATAGGCTTCCTGCTCAATTAGACAGAAATAATATTTAAACAGCAATGTATTATGTAAGTCTCACCTGCTTTGACACATTATATCTGGATATTATTAGCTACTAACTTATAAGGCCTTTCAGAAAAGCAGCCGCCTGACATCCCACACACCTTGTTTTAGCCACTATGAGATGTTCCTAATGGTAAGGGCACTTTATGTTTTTTGTTTGTTTGCTTGCTTGTTCAATGTTATCAAGATAAGATTGTGTTGATATTTCTCAATTTTTAACTTCACATTTTTCTTATAGGTAATGATTTTTTTTTATTGAAAAGTGGCCATTTTATGGTGTTATTTGAAGTGGACCTCCACGTCTTTCTTGGAAGACCAAGTCCAGCAAAGTTCTGTGGCCCACACATAGAGATAGAGTGGAGTTGCATATACTTCTAATGTTTGTGGAACCCCAGATTTTAGGATGAGCCTTTGCTTTCTTGTTCTTAGTTCACAGCACTTCCCAAAATATTTAATGAAAATACTTCTATTTCCTTCTATGGATTTTCATAATTGTTGTCTAGTTACTTCCTGGGTATTTAGATTTAGTCCCTAATTTCTGATATATCTATTTCTTTTTTGGTTTATTTTTATACCAATGTTCATTTAAGTATAGCATTTAATATATTTTCCCTCCTTTTCCTTTAAAATTTTTATGTAGTAAAGGCCTATTTATATTTTTTGAGTAGAACATATATTTTAGTAATGTGAAATAAAAAAATAATGTAATGTCTTATAGTCTAAAATAGCTTAATATCCTCATCTAAAGCAAATAATCCTAATGTATGAATTTTACTTCAGATTATTAAAGCCTCAGATTATACAAAATAGTTTAATCATATCTTAGGTGAGTCGAAGCTTTAGTATATCTCTCCATTTCTTTCAAGATGATATAAACATAAAAGAAACATTTTATTATCATCAGTGGCTAAAACTAGGGGTTAGGTGTATTTACAACTAGATAAATTTCTGAAAACTAAATTCTAGGACCAAGATTGGATTTGATTTCAAACAATCTCTACACAGCATATGCACTGGTTGCTATGCAACACAATTTAATATCAACAAATGATGTCAAGTGATTTTTTTACATGCTGTAATTGGATTGCAAATCTTGCTGCATGAAATATGTAAGGAGAATGTCATTATTCAAATTTACATGGTTATGGTTAAAATGCTAAATTTTTGTAACAAAAAAATAAAAAAATAAAAACCACAACACAAAACCTACATCTTAAAACTGAAGAAATGTATTGCCTTCCATTTTAATAAACATGCAATGGCCTGGAAAGTTCCTTCTCCACCCTTTGGGAGAGCATAGAACATATTGAGTAAGTTTTTATGCTGGTCTACTCACCTAGCTTCTCTGATGAGTTGGCTGTGGAAAGCCTACATAGAGGCAGAGCTCAATTAGTGTAATTTATGTATCCTTGGACGTCAATCATTCCTGTTGAGAGGTGGGACTCACAGGCTCTCAGTGCATTAATTAAGAACCCATCTCAGCAGAGCCATCTTTCTACCTAAGGACCAAAAGGAAAGTTTTAATTAGATTTTTAAAAGCAAGTATGTCATATATGAAAGCAAGTGTGTAGTTCTTTAGTTGGAAAGAAAGGCAACAACTGGAAGGGAATATGCCAAACAATGCAAGGGGCACTGGTTCTCAATCATCTGTGACACTATGAGAAAGATGGAGAGAATCCATCAGAAGCACTGGTTTCTATCTTGGACAGCCACTTCATGGAAATCACTGAAGTTTGACTCTGTTGTCTCCTTGCCAACATAATTATTGGACCCCTGTCTAATTATTGATGCAGAGTTGATGCTGATCAAGTGCAATTATGATGTGGATGGCAGACTGTGTTTTCCTCTGATGACTTCCTTTTGTTTCAGGCTAACTTCACATGGAATATGCAATGGACAATACAGTGCAAGTTCAGCAGAAGGGAGTTAAGGAACTTGCACAATACATCAATTTCATTGGTCCAGTGATGGAGTGAGTGTGTCTTTGCTTGCTAACCTAAAAGTACAGGGACTCAGGAGAGAGAAAACCTAGAGAGGCTCACTGTTGTCAGCTGCTCGAGGGAGTCTGTTCTCTTGGAATGGCTTGTGTGAGGCCATCAAACATACTCCTTAGGGCTCACTTGGGAAATAATAGATACATTATTGATTAAAATATTTATACATTCATGGAGGGAAAACAAAATTTAAAAGCTGGTTCAGATTCTAGAAGGGAAAGCTACCTACTAATAGCTATTAACCCTCTGCCCTCCATAATTAGAGAGGGAATCAAACTACATGCTCTGAAAAACAAAAACAAAGGACTTTTCTGGTTTCCAAGTAAACATAATAAAAATAAAATTGCTGAAATCAAAGGAAAAATCTCAGAGACATGGCAATATGTTCTGAGTGTTGTTCTTTTGTTACACTGCTGGTTTCCAACACTGAGTAATAATGTGTAAGTACTGAAATTTAAACCTTTCAAATAATAAACACCAGAAAAAGCAGAAATGTAAGAAAAAATTTTCTTTTTGGAAGGGTTATAGACAATAGGGAAATATTACCCTGACCACACCAAGGTCAAAACAAGCCATGCGATAATTTGAAGGTTTTCTAATATACCCCACTGGTGCAATGGAGGGATGTTACAGCAATCTAAGAAAGCTCTGCTCTCTGGCTCAGAAGACTGCAATGAGGGTTTCTGGTGCCTATCATTGCCTGCATATTTCATTTTATTTTTTAAGGGAAGGTGTTTAGGAGAGCCCATTAGTGTATACGCTATAAATTTACCAACCAACTAGCATACCTGACATGTAGTGAATAACAGCAACAAACCTGACAAAAGGCATTATAGATTTTACAGGTATATGGCTTGTGCAGAGTGTGTCTAAGTGATATGATACAATGAAAACCACACTATAAAGGCTATTTGTAAAAAGAATAAAGCTAGAAAGCTGTATCTCCTCATTTATGTTAATGTTCATAAAGGTATTTTACAATCCTTTCACAGCGTTTTCCTCCTCACACATTTTCCTAGCTATTTTGCCTCATTTATTGTATGTATAATGTTTATTGCACAATCTGTATAGTAGCACTCCCCAGATACAAGTTGGCAATTGTGTAGGTTATACCAAATTTTGTGTGTATGATTAATTTACATAATATGCCATCCTGCATTGGAAGACCATGATTATGTCCTCTGACGCATGGTTTTATTTTCACATAAGCCAGAGAATATTACAAAGTCAAACAGTCTCTTAGACATATTGCTTTTAAGGATGTCAATATGTATGGTAGTGCACCTGGATATTATGTTCGATTTGTTGACCTTAGAGGTTTTCTTCCCCAAGCAATAATTAAATCATGTTTATGAAAACTGAATAAAGAACACTTTAACAAATATTTGCTTCAATTGTTTTTAAATGAAATATGGTGCCGACTCTTCTCTTGCCCTAAAACACTTAAATTTAGCCTTATGTCCTGAAGTCTCATTCCAATGACACTAGCTGTAGCCACACATCAGATCACATGTCCCACATTTATAGAGCAGGATCTCAACAAAAAGGAATATGTGTCAGATTGGGCAGTATGTTAAAGAATGATTTTATTCAAACAGAGGAATCTTCTTAGTCCTTATTAAGAAACAAACTTTTGTGTTAAGGGTTACAAGAAAGGTTTTTATTTTATTTTATTATTTTTTCTCATTTTACATATTGATCCTAGTTCCCTCTCCCTCCCTCTCATGCCCTGACTTCCCTCCCTCCCCCTCCCACTCCAAAGGGAGGGAAAGATTTTTCTTAATGAAAAATTTCTGTGTACCTATAAAGAGTCTGTCTGACTTTCCTTCTTTTTTGTTTTTCTTGGGGGGGGGGTTGAGATAAGGTGTCCTGTAATCCAGGCTGGCTCCCAATGCCCCATCATTTGACCTCAACTTCCTGAGCACTAAAATCACAGGCATGAGTTACTATGCTCAAAAATGATCTTATCTGAACCTTTGCAAAGTTCCATTAGAACAAAGATCCAGGCTGAATTGTAAGTGGGACAATGTGACAATAGGAAGTTTCATGAATGGCTCTGGAACTAGTCAGCATAGTAACATGGCATTTTAAGGAAGACATATTGATCTGTTTCAAGATGGGTGACCAGTGGAAGACCAGAACTCATCATTGCCCCACACTTAATATGTACTAGAAGGAATTTACATTATTTCCTTAAGACTGTTAGGCTTTGCTCATGGTTTTAAATAGAACACAGGAGACTTTATATTTTCTAATTGTATTTGGACATATACATTCACACACAGTTGTGTGACTCTGGAAAATGAAAACTAATAGTTTCATTAGTTAGACAAGTGCATGTTTTGAACACAGGTATTTCATTCACTGAAATTAGCCAGGCTAGTATTTATTAATTTACCACATATCTTATGCTCATGGGACTCATATTCAAGGCTAGCTATAATGAAACTCTAAGTAAAATGACCCAGTTTTCTGCTGTCTTTGCAGCGGTGATTAAGTAGGGAAGGACAGGTTCATGGTCTAACCTCCTTACTTTTCCTGAGAAATTGCATTGAAAAGAAGACAAATTTCTCATTAGAATATATGTGAGGGAAAAAGAAAGATAGCAAGAAAACTATACAGACATTAGGATAGAACTTTGAGTTCAAAAACACATGTACCATAAATTGGGAGTTGTAATAGCTTTTAAATAAAACACAAAATATGGGATTTTATGTATCAGATTGGTAATAGTGAAATGTATTATTAGAGACTTTATTTCTATTGATGTAATCATATACAACAGATTTCAGAAGTACTACTTCAACCCTGTAAAAACAAAGGAAACCTTACCCCATCAACTTTTAAGAGAATTGGTTCTCAACCTTCCTAATGCTGGGCCCTTAAATATAGTTCCTCACTTTGTGGTGACCCCAACCATAAAATTATTCCATAGCTGCTTCATAGCTGTAATTTTGCTACTGTTCTGAATCATAACATAAAAATCCGATATGCAATCTTTGTGAAAGTGTTGATCTATACCACCCCCTGCCCAGCCCCAAAGGTGTCATGACCCTCTGGTTGAGAACCACTGACCTAGGATGTTTAGGGCTGGAGACTATGCTGTTCTAATGCTTTGCAGTCTACTTGTTTAGATAGATTCTTTTTTTCCTAGGCCATATAAGCAAGATGTCTGGGTGGGTTATCAGTCTTTTATCTTTGACATTTTATTATTTAGTTTTAATGCTGGGATATTTTATTGTACATGAGCCTGGAGGTTTTCTGCTTTCATGTGTTTATAAGACAGAATAATAAATAAATGATGATTTAGTTTCAGTGTTAATATCGGGATTGTAGTGAGTTTCATATTTTTTAAACCTTTTCCCAATTCTGACAGAGGAAAAGCATTTGGCTTCCAGTGACTTTCATGACATTTAAATTACTAGGGGAAGAACAATCCTTAAGTTTTATAGACTTTGGGTTATATAAGTGTTGTCAAAAAATACTTACTTGTATTGGGTGCAAGTGCCACATTGCTTTTCTGTGATTACTTTATGAGAAGAGAGCATGAATCCTGAGTACTCTTTAGGATATGTTGTAATGTAAATTTCAAAAGAAAAGAGGAACTCTTTATATTTGTAGTTGTCAAGGAATACAGCTACCAGACTATTCATACACTTGGACAATGGAGAAAAAGTACTGAAAGAATAGCAGGAAAATCCTTATTTATTTTGTATGCATTTCCCTGTAATTCTATATGTGTATGTTAGCATATGTTCTCTATGCATGTTGGTTTGCATCTTTAATAATTTAAATGACTTTCTTTAAAGGACAGAAAGTGGGGACTTTTTAATATTCAACAAATATTCAATATTTCCAAATAATCTTGTAAATGTCATGACATTTGAAAAGATTTGCTTTTATAGGGCTATTTTTTGAAGTTCTTATAGAAACTATTCACAGGAGATTTTAATAGATATCTTTTAGTTATTCTCTGATGTTTTCTCATACTCTCTCAATAGTGAAAGTACATCACCAACTTTTTTTTTCCCTTAATACCAAAGAAAAGGGAAAAATGTAAGGACATATTTTCCATTACTCTGAAAATTCTTAATGGCTTAGAATCTTGTTTAACCAATTCTTTATATATATATATATATATATGTATATATATATATATATATATATATATATATATATAATATGGATCTCTTTGACAAGGTATTTTGTAATCTTTATCAGTTGCACAACAAATATCTGGATATATTATACATAGGTATGCATACATTTATATGTATTTTAACCCCTATGATGGTTAATTTCAAATGTCAACTTGATGAGCTCTAGAGTCACCAAGGAGATGGGCCCGTGATTATGTTTGTGAGGGATTACAAATAGATTATTTGAGGTAGAATGACCCAGCTATGTGGGTATGACCATTCACAGGACTGGGATTCTTGAATGATTAAAAGAAGAGCAAGCCATTTGTTTCTCTACTATCTGAAACTTTAAGACCACTTCCCTCA